CACCTGGCACACAGCTGGGTGCTCGACAGCCTCTGTTATCATCTGCCCACTCTGTGTCTCTGCTGGAGCCCTGCTCTGCGAGATAACTCTCCACCCCCTGAGGCTGCTTCCTGCGGGCTCTGGGCCCCAGTGTGGGCGAAATACACAACCTCCAGTCTCACCCAGTACCACTGTGGCCCTTCCTCTCCATGGGAGCCCAGCCGGGCTAGTTGGCATGCTGGACCACAGTGCCATAAAGAAAAACCTAGACCGGCCCCTCTGCCCTGGGCTCTCCCAGGGTCCTCTCCCGGCGCTGCCCGCCCGAGGAGGCGGCGCTGGTCCAGCAGCCGCCTGGCCGCGGCCAAGTGCGCTGCCAAGCACCGCTGGCCCGGTCCTCCGCCGCGGGACTGGCCGCGGCTGAACTCCGTATTGTTTTTCCACATGGCCTCTCTGCCTGGACAGAAGCATCTCTCCAGAAGGTCCCGCGAGAGATGCAGACATCCCTCCCCTACCTCCTTCGCCCCGTCACCGCCACCTCCCCTCGCAGGTCGCGTTGACACGGAAAAGATGCCTACGGAGGAAGAGGGCACACTTCTTCCTCATCCCTAGCGCGGCCCCTTCTCCGCCTCTACAGATTCCGGGATCCAAAACCCGGTTCAGCTTATTCAAAAAGAGCCACTTTCATTTTTGTAGGGTTGGCTCAAAACGCGGGAGGCAAGACAGGCGGCAACGCCGCTGAGACGCTAGGCACGGAGCCGGTCCCTGCCCGGGAGAACATCTGGAAACTGCGGGCGGGACGTGCAATAGTGCTTCTTTCCAAAACAGTGAAATCGAGTTTTCATGGAGAGAACCCATGAGCACGGTTCAGTTTAAAGCGGTAAGGGGAGCACAGAAGAGAAAGCCACAAATGAGCTCTTGTGGTCCCACAGCCTCTCTGCACAAAGCAGTTTCCCGCCCCGAACTTCTCTCCTCCCTTTATGCCCACATTCCTGTTTTATTTGTCCCGGGGTTCCCCGCGCTGTGTGACTCCCCGCAGGGCACCCAGAAGCGGGCCACCAGGAGGGACGCCTTGCCACCCCTGCTCCGGGCTGCCGGGCAGAGCGTGCTGGCTCCCGCGGAGTGCGGAACCCATCCCAGGCCGGGCGCAAAGCTCGGTTCCAAGGGAGCCCGCGGACCGCTGCCCCCGGGGGCCCTGCCCGCCTCTGCCAGCAAGTGGGTGCCCTGAACTCCCCGCAACGCTTCGCTGCCCTTGGGCCTGCCCGCCCGTCCCGCGGGGGCAGGTCCGGGCTGGGATGGGGAGACCGGGGAGCTGCCCAGGCGCGGCGCGCCGCGGAGTACCTTGGCCGCAGGCGCCGCGCTGCAGGACGATGACCGGCGGCTGGAGCAGCCTCTCGGATCGGCGGCTGGCGGCGCGCAGCTGGCACAGGTTGGCGTAAGTGTTGGCGTCGCTGCCGCACACCGGCTCGCTGCTGGCGCACACGCAGATGCCGGCCTGCGCGCGTCGTCGCACGGTGGCCGAGGCAGGGACCCCGAAGGGTACCACGCACTGCAGCCCCTCGCCGCACGGGCCCTCCTGCAGGCCGCACGCGGCGCCCTCGGGAGCGCCGCACACCTCGCAGCAGCCGCACGCGTCGCGGACCCGGCCGCCCTCGCAGTGTGTCGGCGGCGGGGCGCAGCGCGTCGGCTCGCAGCGCTCGGGGCAGCCGGCGGCGCGCGTCGGCTCGCAGCGCTCGGGGCAGCCGGCGGCGGGTCCGGTGGCGGAGGGCGCCGAGCGGCCGGCGCGGGACAGCTGCGCCGAGGCGGGCGCCGCCAGCAGCAGCAGCAGCGGGAGGAGCGCGGCGCGTGGGGACTGCATGGTGGCTCCGGCGGCGGCGGGCTGGGCGAGGGCCGGAGAGCAGCGCCGGAGGGAGTGCGGGAGGGCCTCGGGGGCGGCGGGGGCGAGTGCGCGCGGCCGCGCGGCCCAGCCCATTGGCCTGGCGGCGGTGACGAGCCGCCTTGGGGACGGGCACGGCGCCCGGGAGGGGGGCCGGCCGGATGGCGGGAGGGGGGCGGCTGGAGCGGGGACCGCCCGCGGCGGGGGCAGGGCGGGCGCGCCCGGGCACGGCGAGGCTGGCGGGGCGGGGACAGGGCGGCGCGTGGGTCCGCCCTCTCGCGGGCTCCGTGTCAGGGTCTACGCGCCCACGTCGTCGCTCTCTGCGGGTTCTTTCGCCACGATTCGCGTCCTTAAAACTAAAAGGACGCTCTACAAATGGGAACCTGCGGGGGGCCCCACTCGGGAGCGCCCGGGAAAGTTCCCGCACATCGCCGAGCTGGGGGCCCGCCCGGGCAGCGCGGGCTGGGCCGGCCCATGTCCCGGCCCGGGCGGCGGCGGCACCGCTGGCCCCGGTCACGCGCCGGCACTGACCTCCGTGCCCAGCGCGCGGGACCGTGACCGTGGGCCCCGTGGGGCCGCACAGAGGCGGCGTCCGCGGGACTGGCACAAAGCCAGCGCCCAGACCCGCGGGGAAGTGGAAAAGGCAAAACGCAGAAGTAACTAGAACACAGTCCTTCACATCCGAGTCTTCTAAAACGTTGTTAGCGCTGGAATGCGCGCTCGGACTCGCGGGTATCCCAGCAAGCCGACCGGGGACGCCTGTGGCTGGCGGGGACAGGGGCGGGCCGGCGCGGATGGGAGCGGGGCTTTCTACTACTTGAAATTTTCGCCACGTGCTGATTATCGCAAAACATTTTCGTTGTCAAATAGATGAACTCGCCTCTGATTTCCCACTGGACAGTCTTCAGTGCGTCCTTTGGGACAGATGCGAGCCTAGGAGTCACCGAAGGGGCGAGGGCCACCCTGGAGGTGGGTCCCTGGTGACCAGGCCGGTGGTGGGCGACAGCCTTGGGCCAACCCTGAGCTGATGGGCCTGGCTGGTGTCTGAGGATGGGAAGGAGGCGGTTTGCTCACGCCCGAAGGCGGGTGGGCGGACGGTGCTGGCCTTGGAATATGGTGGCCGTGGGAGGGGCTTGGGGATTTTTTACCATTATTCTGTATTTGGTTTGTTCCCTTGTGCACACGTTCTTTTTCCGATAAAAATAGTTTAAAAAATAAAATTCAAATGCTTTTAAGCCTCTCTCAAAGCACCTCCCAAACGTGAGCCCCTCCCTCAAAGCACCTCCCAAACGTGAGCCATCCAGGTCCAGAGGGATCCCTCACACCAAGGGCAGGGAAACGGGAAGCCCCCGAGCCTGGGGCATGAGACAGAGTTGGGGTCCCCAGCCTGGCTCCCTACCCCTCATGGTGACATTTCATAAAGCCAGAACCTCACCGTGGTGGGAAGGGAGGCCCTGCCCCAGAATTCACTCAGCCCTGGATCCCAGAGAGGCAGAGACCTCTGCTGATTAGAAGCCACAAGTTCCTGGCTAGCTGTGATTAACCAAAAAAAAAAAAAAAGGGGGGGGTAATTAACAAAGTCCATCAGCAAAGAAAAAGCCTCTCCCCACTGCCCTCCAGGGGCAGATGAAATGAAAGGGGCATGTGGTGGTGAGCAAATCAGTGGGGACATGTCTTTTTATCCGGTTCCCTTATTTTACAGCTGGGAAAATTGCAGGCCAGAAAGGGTACGTGACTACACGGGGCGTCACCACAAGTTAAAGAGTGATGGAGCTGGGGCACCTTGTAAATCGCCTCTGCCTGCAAGCCCCATCCACCCCCCAGCCAAGCGGCCACACTGCAGGGTGAACCGTATAACCCAAAACACAATGCAACCACGGCTTCCCCACTGCTTTGTGCAAAGTTGTGGGGAGTCTCCAAGCTCCTCCCCTGTCAGAGAATTAAGTGCCTGGAGACCCCACTGAGTCCCCATCACACCATTCTCTACCCCTCCCCCCCATACACACTTTACTCCCCCAGTGCTGAATGACTTGCATTTTCCAGAACATACCTTCCTGCTTGAAGTCTGCATGCCTTTGCTCACCATCTTCCCTCTGCCTGAAACACCCTTCCTCCCCACCAGTGTGGGCTAGTGTGACCTAGGGTCCTGGGCAGGAGCTGTGTCATCTGGGGGACTTAGGTTCATAAGCCACTTCTGGCCCTTAACTCTGTGACTCTGGGCAAGTGAAGAGCCCCGAGGAGCTTCACCTGGAAAATGGCAGGGACTGCATATCTGGAGTGACTAAGCGAAGGCCGACACGCCAGATGCAAGGTCCCATTTGTTCAGTGCTCGTTCCAGTCCCGTCTGGCGCACTCCTCTTCCATCCCCACGTCCCCATTCCTTCCAGCTCCCACTGCCTGTGCTGCTGGTACTGCCCTCCGCACCTCCTCCCCAGGGCGGGGGCCCTGTCCCCCTCACCACTGCACACCCGGTGCCAGTGCAGTGCTGTGGCACAGAGCACACCCTCGGGAAGTGTCTGTTGAGCTGGACCACTCCTGCGATAGTTCACAGCCTAGAAGAGGCATTTGTGACAGGGATGACCAAGAAATGCAAGCCGTGGAGGCCACGTGGCTATTCTGCTAGTGATGGAAGATGGTAACACCCTAGTAACACCCTTGCAGGTGGCTTCTTCAGGAGGGTCAACAGAGGAGGGACTGGAGGTCCGAGTGGTACCCGAGAAGCAGATTTGCAACACCCAGTGCTTTAGGAAGACCTACCTGGCAGGGGCACCACGTGGTACGATCACATGATCGTCTCCCAGCTGTGAGTACAGTGCACCCCGCCTGCTCCAACCCCGACACTGAGAAATAAAAGTTCTGCTGGAAGGACTGTGGGAGCCCTGAAAAGTGCACATAGGAGGGTGTTGTGTGTGCGTGTCTACGTCTGTCCATCCGTGTGCACACGTGGAGAGAAACAGAATAAATCAATTGAAACCTGTCTTCGTGGGCCCCTCTCTGGCCTTCCCTTAGTCCTAACATATCGGTGTCTGGACATTTGTCTGAAAGGATTGCTCTTTCTCTTTTAGGTTCTTCCCATATGCTGCCATTTACAAAGACAGCTTCTTAAAAGATACATGTTTTTAATATATATATATCATGAAAACTCATTTCTCACTCACCAGGTCTTGGCACAGTTTCCTAGAGAGGAATTTTCCAGAGAAAAGGGGGCAGTTCTTAAGCCAAGCAGGCAAGTTCCCTACCGTCCATCCTCTCTGCAGCCCTCATTTTCAGCATTTAAGCTTTAATTTTGAACAGAGTCAAGTCTATTCATGAATAATGAACAATGAAACACCACGGCTGCCAAATCCTTAATCAGGAAATGCGGCTTCTGAATTGGAATGGAGCAACCGTGTTTGTTGCCCAGTAGGAGAAAGATCTCCCACTTGGGGCCTCTATTCTCCCAAATGTTCAAAGGACTCAGTGCTCAGGGGCTTATATTACCCTTCCTAATTCCGGGGACCTAAAATCCAAGGAGCTGTCTTAATATTTTTGATTCTTCCTATAATTTTATCACATCACTCTACTACTCAGTAATTTCTAGGGGCTCTCAGTCCCAGTAACATGAAGCCTGAGCTTCTTACCCTGACTTCCAAAGTCGCCGGTACCCCTCAAGCCAGGTTGTCCTCTAGTTCCAGGGCGGCAGACACCCATCCCACCCATGCGTGCTCACACAGGGACAGAGCCCGGGCTGAGGTCGCACCTCCATGTAACAGATGCCTTCTGAGCTGGTTTTGGCTCCCTCTCCTCTGAGCACTGGGCCGCTCCCATCCCCTCCGCCACCCCAGCATCAGAAGGTCAGAACCTCCTTTGACAACAGGCACACCCTGATGACAGTCCCACGTCAGTTTAGTTTGGTTTAATTTAAAGGAAAATTCTTGAGCATCTGCCGCAGGCCGGACGATCTGCCAGACACTGGAGATGCAGTGTTGAAAGCCTGCGAGGAACTTAGCCCCCACAGATCTCAGAGTCCAGAATTATCTGCGATGATGGAAACGTTCTCTATCTATGCTGTCCAAGAGGGTAGCCACTAACTGCATGTGACTACCGAGCATTTGGAATGCTAGCAAGTGCAAACAAGGAACTGCATTTTTACTTTGATTTTAATTAATTTAAATTCAAATAGCTATGTGAGTGCACCCCACGAACCACGTGGAACTAGTGGCTGTCACACCAAAGAGAGGGAGTAAGAAAACAAACGCAGAGTGACAAGAGGAAATTCAATGAAGGGCAGGAATGGGGACATTGGTGGGGAGGATTTCTCCAGGTAAGCAGAGCTGGGAGAAGCGCACAGTTGGGGTCCATATTATGAGTCTGCCCAGGTGGGTAGATTCCAAGCTGAGCAGTGCATGTGGCTGCAGGCAGGAAAGGGTCCCAGGGACAGAGGCAGCAGCCGGAGAGGAGGGAGCCCACTGTCTTCTTGAGGAATTTGGACCTCACTCTCATGCTGATGAGAGGGTCCATTCTGCTTTTAAGGAGGTGGGCTTTGGCAGAATCACCTTGCTCAGTATGGATGATAGATTGGAAAAGAAAATGGATTCAGTAACATGCATTTTAAAATACAGATACATTATGATATTTTAGGTTGAGGAGCACTTTGAATTAAATTGAAGATGCAGTCGATGTAATCCAATAGGATGAAAAGAGATTCCATTAGCTTTGTAAAAATTAATTCATTTTGGTATGACCTCTTCAATGCAAACCACTCCTTCAAAAATAGTGCAACGGCAAGGATGTTTCAAATATTTTGGGGGAACTCCTGAAGCACTTTATATATACAGTAGTAGCATTTCTAATATCAAATCATAAAACTTTCACATCCATTAATTAAAGAAGGACCCTTAAAAACCAATCCCAGGCCTGGCTACTACTCTTGTGTTTCCTTTCAAGCCTTTAAATTCTATATATTTTTAAGATCTATAATCCATATTTTTCATTTAGACTAACTTTCCCCTAAACCAACTGCATAAGACCAGTAGTCCACGTTTACATTAATGGGCTTCTTCCAACATATTTGCTTTAGAAAATTAAAGTGCATAACGTGACCAAATTTTTTACTCTCAATAATGAAATATCAGACAGACATAAGTTTAAACAGAACCTCAAGCAGCAACCAAGGCATAACGAATGACAACTTGTCGATGTTGTTATTTGGGGCAGCCTGGAAAGCTGAGCAAATACATTTAGAACAACACACTGCTGACTGGGCAAAATTGCTTGACTTTGAATCAAGGAAATTATGAGCCAGAATCATAAAAAATTGTAAAAATTACATTTTTACATGCTTGTAAAAAATACATTTTACAAAAGAGAAATAGGGGCTTCAACCTTTGAGCTATTTCATTGTCTAAGTAAGTAGGCACTACAGTAAGCGCAAAGGGCCAAAGTTCTGTAGGCATGAAAAGGCATGTACTAAGTTTTGGCAGCATGCTCTCCAAGGTGCTTAGATGTGAAGGGGCTCAGATGTCAACTTGACCTAGAAGGCCAAGATTCTTTCTCTACAAACTTGCATTGTTATTTTCTTACACATACAGCCGAGATTTTTTTTTTCACTCTCCAAATGAGAGGAGACAATGAGTAATGGAAAGCTGAGAGACTATGAAGAGAATGATAACAGCCTCCCCAATGACCACTCAAAAACCCAGATGAGAGGTAGCTGTAGCTGAGCTTTCTGTGTCCTTCAGTAACCCCCGAGCCCAGTCCACCTGCTTGAGGTCCGCTCAGGTGGCCTTCCATGGGCTTTGGGTTTCCACTCACCCAGTCACATTCTCCTATGTCCTTTGTCTGCTTGTGGTGGGTGCACTGGGAATACTGACTGATGCTCCTGACTCGCTAGCTGTGCTCCGGAAGCAGAGGAGGGCCACCCTGGGGCCAGCGGTTCTTAAGCCAGGGCACGCATCAGAAGCGCCTGGGGGCTGGTTAAAATGCAGACGCTGGGCTGTTCCCCCAGAGTGTACTCCAGCAGGTCTGGGGTAATGCCTAAGAATTTGCATTTCTTACACGTTTCAGGCAGTACTGAGGCTGCTGGTCCAGGGGCCCACTTTGGGGAATAAGGCACTAAATTGGATAACCTGCATCCCCCTCGTGCCCCTGTCCTCCTCCTGTCCACTCTCCACTCATGCGAGCCCCTCCACATGCACACTCTGGGTGGCTCTGTGCAGGGAGGCAGACCACCAGCCTCAGAGGGGCTTTCCAGGGAGTCCCCAGAGCCAAGTGTCAAAGAGCACACGGGAGTCAAGGCGATGGCAGGGCAGGCAGGGCAGGGACAGCCGTGCTCCCACCTGTTGACTGTGGAGGAGCCTGGGCTTCATTTAGAGGCTGGAGACAGATGCGGTCAGACTCCTGTGTCAGAAAGACCACCGGGACCAGAGGGAGGCTGGCCTGAGGGAGGGGTGGGAAGGAGGGAGTGCCTGAGGCGGGTTCCAGCAGGAAAGAAGGGGGCTGGGAAACAGAGCTCAGAGTGGGTTTTAGCCGCTGGGATCACAGAGTGCCGCAGACACAGTTCGCCTTCTGCATCTAGGCGGCAACCTCTCCCTATCCCAGGGGCCGGCATGGCCTCTCCCAGCGTGGAAATGAAGGCCACCAAGGAGGACAGGCTCGCCGTCCAGGTCCTCGTCTCCCCTCCTTATTAGTTGCAGCAGGTCTTGGGTGCAGAAGGTGCAGCCTGCTGGGGGCAGGGACATGGTGTGGTGACAAAGGTGCTGTCCCCTTCCCAAGCCACTGCCCATCTTGCTCAGCCAGGAGAAGAACCCTCTTTTCCTAAGTCACATAAAGTTGTCCTAGGGGTCAGGGCACCCGGACAGCTTTGCCCTAAATCATTGGGTGACCTTGGGGAGGGTCCTCCCCTCAATCCTTTTCTGCTAGAGGAGGCTGCCGAGGTTCCTGGCATCCAGTAGAATCATCTGTGGAGTTTTCAAAAAATGCTGATATCCAGGGAATTGGCAAAACGTGATTAAGTTCAGCAGATTACAGTATTGAATCAATGTTGATTTTTGGATTTTGATCATGTAACTGTGTTTGCATAAGATAAAATTTTTGTTTTTGTTTTTTAAGAAAAAACATATTGAAGTGCTTAGAAGTAAGGGACCTGACTGCAACTTAAATGATTTAAATGTTCTCATCATTCAGAGAACAAGAATGATGTAACAAGTGTGGTAAAAGTTAATATTTTCAGAATCTGGGTTAAGGGTAAATGGGGGGAGTTTTGTACTATTTTTTGCAACTTTTCTCTAAACCTAAAATTATTTCAAAATAAAAACTTTTTTTTTAAATCACTCCAGATCAACTGAATCAAACACTCCGGGGGTCCAGTAAGCACATGAAAAGATGTTCAACATCCTTATTAGTCATCAGCAGATCAACAAAACAAAACCAGAGTGAGGTCCCACTTCACATGCTCTAGGGCAGCCAGAATCAAAAAGTCAGATGATAACAAGTTTTGGCAAGGATGTGGAAAGATTGGAACCCTCACACACTGCTGTTGGCAAAGTAAATGGTACAGCTACTTTGGAAAACAGTCTGGCAGCTTTTCAAACAGCTAAGCAAAGAGTTAGCACATGACCCGGCATTCCCACTCCTAGCAGTATCTACACAAACCCAAGAGAAGTGAAAACATATGTCCACACAGAAACTTGTACACACTTGTTCATAGCAGCTTCTTATTCACAGAAGCCAAAGGGTAGAGAAACAATCCAAATGTCCATCAACTGATGAACAGATAAGCCAACTGTGTCATATCCATGCAATGAAATACCATTCAGCCATCAAAAGAATGCAGACTGACACAGCGTGGATGGACCATACGTGGATGGACCATGTGGACATGCCAAAACATGGATGGACCCTGAAAACATTGCACTGAATGGAAGACACCAGGTACGAAAGTCCACATGTTACATGATTCCATTCAAAAGACATGTCTAGAGCAGGGAAATCTGCAGAGACAGAAATAAGTTAGTGGTTGCTCAGGGCTGAAGGGAGTGGGGATGAGGGGATAGAATAGCTAAAGAGTGTGGCTTTTCTTTTTGGTATAATAAAATACTATAGAATTGTGTTGATGGTTGTACATATCTGTGAATATATTAAAACCCATTGAATTATATCCCTTAAATGGGTGAATTGTATGTTATTTGAATTATATCTCAATAAAGCTGTTTTTAAAAACTCAGGTTGTGGCCTGGGGTGGTGGCTCACGCCTGTAATCCTAGCATTCTGGGAGGCCAAGGCGGGCGGATCACTCAAGGTCAGGAGTTTGAAACCAACCTGAGCAAGAGTGAGACCCCCATCTCCACTAAAAATAGAAAAAAATTAATTGGCCAACTAAAAATATATAGAAACAATTAGCCGGGCATGGTGGTGCGTGCCTGTCGTCCCAGCTACTTGGGAGGCTGAGGCAGGAGGATCGCTTGAGCCCAGGAGTTTGAGGTTGCTGTGAGCTAGGCTGACATCACAGGACTCTAACCTGGGCAAGAGTGAGACTCTGTCTCAAAATAAAAAAAAAAAATACCTTGGGTTGTGTGTATGAGAGAGAGAGAGAGAGAGAGAGAGAGGTGGGGGGAGTCTGGGCCGGGCCTCCCTAGTGTCTACAATGTGAAGAGCCTTCAAACAGCAGGGCTGAGACCCACAGACGGGTCATTTCTGTGTACTGACACTACGTGGCTACACATTTAAACCATCCAGTTAGTCTACAGCCAGGGCTTAAAGTTCAGTGACACTGGGAATTTTATTTGTCCAAACCACATTATTATTTAATCAGCCAGTCTGTGTCCCGTTGGGGCTCCACGTTGTTCTCCCCTCACAGGTTGGGAGCTGCCTGGGGCTGGAGCCTGCCTTGCCCACTGTGCCCAGACGGTGCCAACCACGTAGCAGGTGTAGTCTCGTTGTGGTTCTGTTAGACAGAGGCTTGCAGCAGAACCCAGGTATAACATCAAAATAGCACATTTGTATCTTAACTTTCCTTTACTTTCTTCCCTTAAAGTTGGTTCCATTTTTGATGTGACTTTCAGCTGTCAGCTGTCTGGTCTCCGGGACGGGGTGATGGCCTGGCACCAGCAGAGCAGTGTCCCTGATGAATCACGGCCGAGGTACTTTTCCACTGGGCCAGCCGCCACGGCCCCTTCTCCATCCTTTGTGAGAGCCCTGTCACCTGGCACCGCGGACACTCGTGTGTCTCTCACTGGCCTCCGCTTCTGGTGAGCAGTTTCTGGGTGCTCAAGCTTAGCCCAGAGCCTGGGACCCAGTCATGAAATTAATTCTCTATGCCTTTAAAAAGAGGAATCTCCACTTTGAGAAACCAGGCCTGAAAGTCGAGTCTCTGCATTTGCATCCGCCTCCTTCTCACCCGGACCTGCAGCTTGAAAGCAGGGGAGGGGGAAACGGCCCGAGCTTCAGGAAGACCAAGCCCAGCCACTGTGATGATTCCAAGGAAATTGAGGAAATCCTCGCTAATGGCCAAACTTCCCTGGTTTGAGATTCAAAAGGAAATCAGGTCCCCAGGGTAGAGCCTTTATGCTAAGCAAGAAATGCAGGTTGTAAAACTGCGCCTACCGTTGCTCCTGAACGTTGAATGAGCTGATGCTCAGACTCCACGCTGGAAGGAGCTGAGCCTCAGCGTAACCATGGTCAATTCTGGGTGGAGGGCGAAAGGTGACATTTTCTACTTTTCATTTTCTGCACAGACCATTAATACTGGGGGAGATGGACAGCTAAAAATAGAAGAAAGAAGAGGTAACGAAAGCTGAAGCCTTTTCCACCCGCGGCCGTGCGAGTGGCTGCCCAAGCATGCTGTCCTCGAGGCAGGGGCCCCTCTCCGAAGCCCCACCCAACACTGGGCGGGGCTCCTTCCTGTGGTCACTCTGTGTCCCTCGGGCCCTTCAAAGCCCGCCCTCTCGCGTCTGGGCTCAGCATCTGGGCTGCGCCACTCCTTCGTAAACGCCATCCCTGACGGCCTTCTGTGTGTCCGCCGTGCAGCTGAGAGCACCACATGCACTGACCGGATGGTTACAGAAAGCTTGCTCCAGATGGGTATTTTTTTTTTTGACATTTTAAAAAGAGGAGGCTTTTCCAAGCTTTCTAATCCCCCCGAACATCTATACATCTTTTGAAAAAAAGCCTTGATGTCTTTAAGAAAAGCTCTTTCAGTGTCTGGACATGGCTTATTCCCCCTTTCTTTATTCCCAATGTCACCTCCCCCAGTCCCGATGGCCTGGCACAGGGAAACAGCCTTGCAAACTCTCTACAGAGGCGGCAGCTCCCAGGACACCTTTGAAGATGGTGCGTGGATATCACAGTGCAATTGACAGCAACAAGGACGGTTTGGTGTTGGCACACGTGTGGGCAGACACACACATCAATGGACCAGAAGGGAACCCAAACCTGACTCACGCTTACCTGCAGACAAAGCACAATTCAATAGGGAAAGGATGGGTTTTTCAATAAATGTTGCTGGATCAATTGGTTATTCATGTGGGGGAAAAAATGAACTTTTGATCCCATACACACAAGATATGATTGTGTGTTGATTCAAAGTGGATCATAGACTTCAATGTGAAAAGCCCAAACAATAAAGGGTCTAGGAGAAAAGATATCAGACAGAATAGCTTTAGGACCTTTGGATAGGCAGGGGATTTCTTACACAGGACACAAAAACCACTAACCACTAAAAAAAAAATTACTAAATATGACAATTAAAATGAAGAATTTATGTTCATCAAAAATGAAAAGATTAACCATCAACACTTGTGTCAGAACATTAGACTCAAAGATAAAAAGGCATACAACCCACCTAGAAAAAAATGTGGGCAAAAGACTACACAAAATAAATACAGACCAGGCACAGTGGCTCATACCTGCAATCCTAGCACTCTGGGAGGCTGAGGCTGGAGGATCGCTTGGGGCTAGGAGTTGGAGATCAACCTGAGCAAGAGCAAGACCCCATCTCTACAAAAAATAGAAAATTAGCCAGGCATGTTGGAGCACACCTGTAGTCCGAGCTAATCAGGAGGCTGAAGTGGGAGGATCGCTTGAGCCCAGGAGTTTGAGGCTGCAGTGAGCTATGATGACCACCACTGCAATCTAGCCCAGGTGACAGAGCGGAGACCCTGTCTCAAAGAAAAAAGAAGAAGATACACAAATGTCCAATGACATCAGGAAAACACAGATTAAAACAACAACGAAACACACTCATAAAATTGGCTAAAATTTAAAAAAACTAAACCCTAAGGCAGGCAGAATTCTAAGGTGGTCTCCAAGATTTCCACCCCTCAAGTCCACACCCCCTTGAATGTGGGCTAAACCTGTGGATATGAAGATGTCACTTCCATGTTCAGGTACCTCATATGCTAACGATGGAGGGATTTTATAATTAAAGTTTCTAATCAGTTTAACTTTGAGCTGATCAAAAGGGAACGTACCCTGGCTTGACCTGACCTTGCCAGGTAAGCCCTTTAACAGACAGCGTAGGCCTGCCCTGAGCTTAGAGAGATTTTCCTGCTGGCCTTGAAGAAGCAAGCTGCCATGAGTTCTGCAGCTGCACAGAAATGAATTTGTCCAGCAATCACGTGAGCCCCATTAGAAGTGCACCCCAGGACCCCACAACCTTCTCATCCCCATTCTGCCTCCCTACAGATCGCCTTTGCACGATGGTGGGGCAGGAGCTAGACTCTCAGGCCGCTGAGGACAGACCTTGTCTGTCAGTCTGCTTCATTGTCAATCCCAGCACCTTACACGCAGCCTAGCATATTGCAAGAACTCAGCACATTTTAAGTTTATTTATTTAGGCATGTTCCTTGAATCTGGAATCCAAAACCAATGGCCCCTAAATCCAACAAAAAGGTTTATGTGACACCTTGTGCTTGTATTACCCATTTCTACACATGGAAGTATTGGTTGTATGTGGCTATCTTAAGTGCAATTAAGGATTTATGAGTTAAAATTTTCATCTGAATTTTTTAAAAATCCCATAGCTATTTTGCAATTTTGCTGGTATGGAGTAGATTGCATTGTTCAAATATTCATCGTCCTCCCCATAGAAGGATTATGCTACCTTATACCATATACAACTGCTACCTTAAACCATATACAATTGAGATATTCAATCAGTTTTGACTTAATAAAATGCCAATCTCATATGGTTCAAGCTAATATTTCCCTGCCCCTTTGATGTCCAACTTGACCATGTCATTTTCTCTGGCCAATAAAATGTGAGCTTAAGGGGCAGGTGTCACTTCTGAACAAAGTGTTAGGAGTGATTACATGCTGGCCAGCAATGACCACCAGACATTTTCCAGATAGAGGCCACTCAATTTGCTTGGGTGCCAGGGTGAAAATGACAAAATGACAGCCCACCCACAATGGACATATAGCAAAACTGATCAATAAACCTATAATGGTTAATAAACCTTTGAGATTTTTGTTACTATAGCATAACCTACTATGTTCTATCAATATGTTCTCTTTCAGTCCACCTTGCAAAAGAGGTATTATAACTTGTGTCTGCCTCACTTATATCCCAGAGTTCAGCAAAATAGCTTGTCTATAAGAAGCCCTTGAACAATATTGATTGAATTCAATTAAGCATAGTATTTCTTCTTCTGGGGGAAAAAGAAAAAAACTGGCTGAGCTCAACCAAAGATACTCTGTGGCATTTATTAATGTGTGTTCTACCCTTAAGCCTAAGGACAAGAATCAGCTGTGAGCCAAGCTGTATTATGTCAGCAAAAATCCCCGAACAGTTAGGCTCCTTCAAGTGGGCTTGTTGCTGTTTGCAGGATCACAGTGCAATCCAGTTCTCAGCTCCTCTTCTGGGGCACACCTGTCGCTCCAAGCAGGAGGATGACACCAGACACAGGAAGTGAGAAGGGAGCCAGAGCTAGGCCATAGCTGGCCTTCACAGACCACACACACAGAGTCTGTGGATAACTGTCAGAGGTTTTTGTACAGGGGAGCGACCACCTGATGTTTTAAATGCCATGACAGCATATTGGCTGGAAAACAGACTGGAGGGAGGCAAGAATGAAAACGAGGATGGAATCAAAGATTTTCTCAGAAATCATAAATTGCCAATTTTGGCTAAAGAAGACACCTCAAATAAACCAGTATCTATGGAGAAAAAGAGACATTTTTTAAAAACAAATAAACAAAAATCACCTCTGGAAACATTTTTGAAGCCAAAAAGGTTTTGTGGTTGAATTCTTTGAAACTTCAAGGAAGCAGATAATTTCATGCTCCTTCAACTGAAATAGACCATGGAAAAAAATGACAAACTTCCCAACTCATTTCACAAATCCTAATACTAATACTTGTCAAAGATAGCATCCCTTCTCCCCCGGCAAAAAAAAACCCTACAAATCGGAATCATATGTGGGTACAGGCGTGGAACTACTGATAATGATATAATTAAATCCACTTGGTATTATGTTAAGGAATACAATATGAATGAAAGGATGGCATAGTATAAACACTTGTATTAATATAATTTTCACATCATCTTATAAGTTGTCAAAGAGTATATAATATTCCATTTCTAGGGTAACTTTTTTTTGGTAAACTAATAAGAAACTTCTTTAACATGATAATGAATATCTCAATAGGCAGCATCATTCAAAATATTAATAATAAAACACCAGACATTCCTGTTAATATCTGGATTAAAGCAAGACTGCCTAGCACTAGAAATTCTGGCCAATTCAGTAAGAAAAGAAATACCAAAAATAAAAATGGTGAAGGACGTAAAAAGGTAATTTATTTCAGATGAAATCAATTTTTAAAAACTAACAATTCAGTATGGTGGCTAGTTTAAAAAATTCATTTATACAAGCATTAGCTTCCCTACAGACCAGTAATAAGCAGTTAAAACAATGGGGTGGGGTGCATTCAACAGAACCAAAAAAAAAAAAAATAGAAGAATTGAGTATAATAAAAATATAAATAAATATAGAATATTTCTAAAAATCAGTAGACCTACCTAGGGATTTACTTGACAAAAAATATACAAGTGCTATATAAATACCATTACTAAAGGATTTAAATAAACACTTGGCTAAATGGAAAGATGTACTATAATACTTCCAGATGGGAAAAATATTATATAACTGGAATTTCTGAATTTCCTAGTCTGTAGAAACAGAAGTTTCCCTGCTCACAGGCCCCTCCTTTGTGATTGCAGACCCTGCCCCAGACCTCAAAGTCTCCCAGATTATTTCTGATATCCCCCGAGTACTGCACATCACATAAGAGCAAGATTCCTCTGCTCGCTCTTTGCAGCAATTCAAGCCAGCTGCTGGCAAATCCTCTAGGGGCAAGTTCACACTGTCCCCAGAGCCAGTGGTTTCCTCCAATTTGGAAAACACTTGAAGCAGTAGTGTGCTGGTAAATGTTTACCAACCACTTCTCCAGAAAAGAAACAAGTTTACTATAAATGTTACTTATATAAGAGATATATAGCACATGATTACAAATAATATACAATACTCTAAATCCAGTTCATCCCTTGATTTTGTATAACCCACAATCTAAAAATGTTTTTTTCCATTTTTTTAATGATTGAAGAAAGTCAAAAGAATAGTATTTCATGGCACATGAAAATTATATGAAAATTCAAATTTCAGTATCCACAAATAAAGATATATTGGGACACAGCCTTGCTCGTGCATTTACTTATTATCTATGGTTGCTTTTGCCCTGTAACAGAATTAGTTGTGGCAGGGACTGTATGGCCCTGTAAAGCCAAAACACTTATTATCTGATCTGTCACAGAAAAATGTGCCAGCCCCTCGTCTAGACAATCAACAAAACAATAAATCAAAAGCTAATTTGTAGCATTTGTCAATTTCCATGGTGCAAATACTCCCACTGTGCCAATGTCAGGCTTGCCAATGTGACATCACTAAATGTATAATCAGGAAGAGACATGCACAGTAGCACATCAGCATATGGTGTTTCCACCATACAGATAACAATAGCAGTTGTAGGTTCAAAAACAGTAAGGATAGGAAAACATTTCATTCAGATGTCAAAATGTATTATAAACTACAATTACAATATTACATGACATTGGTAGAGAAATGTTGATATTAATGTTATAGAAAGTTCAGAAACAGACACCACTATAAACAAACAGTGCCTGATGTAAGTAGTATTTCAAATCAGTGGGAGAAAATAGATTTTAAAAACAAATAGCATAGAGAAAACTGGCCAACTTTTGGGCGTGGGGTGGGGGAGTTTATTAGATCTTTATGCTATTTGCCAAAATTATTCTCCTTGTATTTAACTTTTAGAAGACATTAAAATAAATGTATTGAAAGTATTATAAGTATATATATTTGTATGGGAAGTTACTTTCTAAACACGACAGCAATGGCAAAATCCATAAAGGAATAAAAGATCCCCCAAAATAAAAGTACCATAAACAAAAGACAGATGATAAATAAGAATCATATTTAGATACAGGACAAACATAAGTAAATATAGAAGAAAGATTAATAGTTTATAAAAATTCTTAGAAATAAATAAGAAAACTTAAAATAGCAATGGAAAGTAGATAATTAAAAATAGGCAATTCACAGAAAGGATAAATAGAAGTGGCCAATTAACACTTAAAAAAATCTCTAATAGTTATCAAAGAAATGTAAATAAAAATTACAAGGTATCATTTTTCCCTAATCAGATTGCCAAAGTTAAATGTATTGACAAAACCCAGCACTGTCGAGTATGTGAGGAAATGTACACTTTCGTGCACTGCTGGTGGGAAAATAAATTAGTACATCCTCCTAGAAGATCTTTTGATGATGTCAGGAGATGAAATACACATACAGACCTTGAGACCAACAAACCTGTGTCTAGAGCTATACCACTAGTGGAGAAAG